ACGGTTATCGGAGTACCCCCTCCGTCATCGGCAGTCCAGGGCACTGTGTATCAGAGTGGATCACAACGTGATTTTGCGACCCCCACTCCACCACAGCGGTAGGGTGATGAACGCGCTTCCCGGCGTTGACTTCGGTTCCGCGACTCACTTGCTCACAGCAGCGTCATCCTCAGCCCCAGACGTTGCCAACCACTGTCCCACGCTCTCTGAACCCACGAGTCACTTCAATCTACCGACTGAGTACGCAGCAATGCCCAGTTTGCCCTATGAACCCTCGATCTCTTTTGTTGGGTCTGGCCTCGCAGTAACGCGGAACCCCACGCGTGTATTAGCTGCTTAATTCAGCCCAGCACTTTCCAGTGATTGGGGCCGATTCTCTTGCCTTCTTTCGTCAGGAAGTCTTCCTCGTACCGCTGCACGTTTACTGGCTGAATCGCATCTAAGAGTAGGACGGCCACTGCCAACCGTCCAGAACTCACCTACGAAAAATACTCCTACCTGCCGACTCTTCACGTGGCCTCCAGGGCGTCCATTTCCCTCACCAACGTCGCCTCTCCTTTCTGCACTCATTTTTATGGTACTTGATGCTGCGTCGCTTCTCCTGAGCGATCTTCTCTCACCCGTTACGCCCTTTCAGTTGCTGGCCGGTACCTTCAGCCAAAGTCCTAGCGCACGTCCGTCACCGACTGCACCGTCCTTCTAGCTGTCTTCAATGTCACTTTCCGTCAAGTCGATCGTCTCTATGTCGGGGTCCTGTGCGACGTCGACACTGTGACGCGCACGCCGCCTACACTGATGAATTTATCAATATTACAATGCACGATTCCCTTGCATTCAGTTATTTTAAGACTACACGCAAATGCAAACGAGCCCAACTTCTGCAGTGCCCCCTAAGGTGGTTATCGCTGTTGAGAGATTTTATGTTACGCTATGCCTTTGTCTGATATTACTGGAATTTCCTTCTTCTTAGAGATGTTCCTCGAGTCGTCTGACCAAAAGGAGCACCAATTGGACATCGCTCGTTCTGCAGTACTCGATTCTCGCTATGAGCATTCACGGAAATCCTTTTTTATCACCATGTGCAGACGTCATTCCTGCACAATATACTGCAAGTGCATAGTTATCAGTTTATGCTGTCGTACTTGAATAGCGGTCTCAGTTGATTTTCAAAGTTCGGCAGTGGATACTTCCCACTGCTAATTTACACCATAAAGTTGGCGTTTGTCTTGGTGCTGGGTTCGGACTGGATTCATTTGTGAGTGCGGTTGCGATTAATCACGATCAAGAGCAATACCTGATACGACGGCAGTCAAGTTCAAATTCCAGCTAGTTTTTCATTAAACAGCTAGGTTCAATAATGAACAAGTAACAGGAATTGTTCATAAAAGAGCAAATTCTGACATGATGGACTGAGCAACTGCCATCACAAATTGAGAAGGAATCTACACTAACCCAACAAGCATTCCACTAGTCGACAATTATCGCTGAGCGACCCTATTCATGGTAGATGCCATAACTGGGTGGAAATAGGCGGCCCATTTCCCTTCTCTTCAAAAATAAAACCAAGAGTATGCCTCTCGAACTCACTCAATGCAACTGAGAAATGCATTAAGCGCGACACATCATCGAGAACTACTTTATTGAGGCGAAGCCCCCCCCCCCTTATAATCGTGTGTATTTGTTGTAGAGTACATAACTCCTATTT